CTGCATGGTACGGGAGCAGTACTGCTGCAAAACGGGAGACCAATTGCGTTTACTAGTAAGAAGTTCTCGGGGGCTGAAACCCGTTATACCACTGGGGAACAAGAACTTCTTGCTGTACTGCACGCGCTTAAGGAGTGGCAGTGTTATCTGGAGGGTCGGCCGTTCACCCTCAAAACCGACCACAAACCCCTAACGTTTCTGCAAGGCGTGCCTACCCTTAACCGTCGTCAAGCCTGGTGGATGGAATACCTTAGCCGGTTTGACTTTACATGGGAATACCTGCAAGGCATCCTTAACATTGCTGATGCCTTAAGTTGGCACCCTTGTCTGCATGCAGCCATTCTGTCAGTCGTTACACGCAACCGTGCTGCAGCACCCGTTGTGCCCTCTGAACTTGTGCAACGACTTCGAGCTGCCTATGCCACGGATCCCTGGTTTTCCGATAACCACAATACTGGCCATTTAACCCGTAACAGTGGCCTTTGGATCCGCACTGAGGGTACTTTTCGGCAGGTTGTCGTTCCGAATGATGACTTGCAGCGTCATGATCTCCTGTCATGTTTTCATGACGACCCGCTGGCTGGGCACCCTGGCTGCACCCGTCTGGTCGAGGTTCTCCATCGTCAATTCTGGTGGCCTCGGATGGCTAAGGACGCCGAGAACTATGCCCAGAACTGTGAGCTGTGCCAACGCAATAAAGTCCTGTCTGGTAAGCCCCACGGCCTCCTGTGTCCCTTGCCTGTGCCGGCCGCCCCTTGGGAAAGTGTTACCATGGACTTTGTTGTAGCTTTGCCCAAAACTGAGGGGGGATTCGATGCCGTTTTGGTCATGGTAGACCGACTCACGAAAATGGTGCACCTGGCACCTACGGTATCATCCTGCACAGCTGAGCAAACTGCACGTCTGTTCTTTGACAACATAGTGTGTTTGCATGGTGTCCCCAAGAATGTTGTGACCGACCACGGATCACAATTTGCCAGCAGATTTTGGGGCACCCTGGGTGATCTGTTAGGCATGCGTGTTAACCTGAGCACTGCCTATCACCCACAGACTGATGGACAGACAGAACGTACGAATCGCACTCTTGGCGATATGTTGCACAATTATGCCGGACATACACCTTCTGTCTGGGACACATATCTAACTGCTGCTGAATTCGCGATTAATAATGCTGTGAATCGCGCGACTGGCAAAAGTCCGTTTTTCCTGAATTATGGATACAACCCTGCCTTGCCTGTTTGGCGGGAGTTGGACGTCAACTTGCCTGCAGCAAAGACGTTTGCCAAGTCCTTTGTGTCCCGACTGACTGACGCGAAATCTTGCCTTGAAGCTGCACAGCAACGTACGGCGGACTACTTTAACAAATCCCGACATGCCATCACCTTCTCGCAGGGCCAGTTGGTGATGCTGAGCACTAAGAAC